ATGGCCTCCAGGCCTGAAAAGATATTAAAGGTTAGAAGACTTCTTTTTCTTTCTCTGTCTTCAGATCTTTTCCGCTGAACCTCTACATGTGAGAGAAAGGATGAAACTGTAGAACCCTCCATATTAGTCCATTGGATTGTTTCAGTAAAACATGGGTTTAAACCCAGTCCAAACCCTGCCTTACCCTCAAGGGGTGGCTTGGGAGTCTCATTTTTATCCAATTCCTAGTTACCACAGAGTCTGGTACATCTTACAGTTAGAAGTATTTAAATCCCTTGTTACTATAAATACCAAATTCACTTTTCTTGTTTTCTTAGTTTTTACATAGCTGGAACATAATTTTATTTCTCAGACCTCAATTTTGTGCTTGAATGAGAGTGAGCCAAGTTAGTGCTTGTGATTCTGGGAAGTCATATTTGCAGGATATCGCAGACAAGGTACTGTCAAAAATTGCTAGACTGACTGTATGCTGGGTTTTTGCATTTACAATAGTTTTGCTCAAATTGACATGAAGAAAAGCTCTTTAAACATAAGTCTAATTCAATTAAAAGTAAGATGAAAAGGAAATCCCCTGCACATGCGAGACTTTATCCATTGCTGGTTAATATGCAACCATTAGTTGCAATGGTTTGCTGACTAATGTGTTACTTGTTGAAATTCTAGAATGACATGCCCTGCCAATTCATCTCTCCCCATCTCCCACGTGTTATTCACAGCTGAATATGCAAATTATGTTTTCTTCCTCAGTTCCTGATTTTTCAATTCCAAAACTGATACAGTTTCCCCTTCACTTGCAATGTGCATCAAGAGTTTCTGCAAATGTTATGAAATCTAAGGTTAAAGGCATTTTCAAGAAATAGAAATCAAATTGGGCAGAAGTTCTTTGTAGAATAATCTGTATTTGACAATAACAAAGTATACACCTCTTGAAGAAAAATAAAATTAAAAATAAACAAAAAACAAAAACAGCAAAGAGGAGCAATTGGCTTGTACTAATTATTAATTTCTTGGAAAAAAAAAAAAATTCAACGACATCATAAACTGTCAGCCCAGCATACAGGGCAGCCTGATTTTTCTGTAAAGTCCATGAACATGTTTCATTTCATTAGTATCAGTCCAAATAGCCAGTCATGCCCTAACGACTTTCTGGGGCACAACCAGTGGTTTTCACCCAATAAAGATCAGAGGGCTGATAAGTGCCAACAGCAAAGTTGTGCTGCAGGAGAGAGAGGCCAGAATTGAGATTGAAAGTGTTGGGCAGTTTTCACAAGAATTTGCACGTGGTCAGCACAATATTAAATTCTAATATCAGTGGTGAGCAGAAGTCCAAAAGCAGAATGCTCTGAGATGGATGTTGACCAGGCTGTAGCTCCCTGGTGAAAAATGGAGTAGGGAAGAGATAATTCCCAGTACCACCATACAAAGAGGCACAAGCACGTCCCATCACAAGAGCAGGGATGAACATCCAACCTCTAAGTCTGCATCTGCACGGGTAGGGAGGATGTCCACGCTTCAAGGCTGATTTGGGAAGATTCAGCTCCTGCAATATGACCACTGTTGGAGCAACTTAGCATTTTCCTCCCTTTCTAATTTCACTTTAAGAGTGGGAGATTCAACTGGACAGAAGAAACTCAGGGATGGGAATAAACGATGTGGAATTCTGAGACCTAGTGAAGGCTTTCTTGGAATCTACTTAAACCAGAGACCAGACAGGAGACAGAAATGTGGACCTTTTATGGTGCCAAGTTAGAATGCCTGGAGAACATCTAGCATGGCAAAATGCTCCAGCTGTACTTGAAGGGGGTAGCTCCAGCTGTACTTGAAAGGACAGCAAGGCAGCCGAGGAGTATGCAAGCCTCCCTGCAGGGTGCAGGTGTTGAGGGGCAATGTCTCTACAAACACCAGGGCCATCCTCCAGTGCAAGAGATCACTGAAGAGTGCAGATGTGGAGTGGGGGACCCAAACACAGCAGCCTAGTGAGTTAGAGAAACACACATCTGACAGTGAGACAGGATCACTAAAATGGCTGCTGTTGAAGAGGTATACTGCTCAAGGAGGAAATTAAAAGTCATATTCTTAAAGCCAGAAAACAAATATATGAATTCAGAATGAAGATGATGAGGAAAGATACGCTTATGAACAAGAGCTTAGTGGCGTGAGAAAAGATACAGTAAAGACAAAAAGGACTGTAAAAATGCTTTGAGTCATGGAAATGCATTCTTTACTAGGCAGAACAGATATGAAGACTGCTTATTTTGGTTTACAAATAAAGATAGGGCTGATGAAAATGGTATTAACTTTGTTCTGTTTTGGATCACAATAACAAGAATACTAAGTATGAATGATAGCTTGAAGTCAACTTCTAATTAGTTTGATGTCTGTTGGACTCAATGATCCTTATGGGTCAGTTCCACCTCAGGATATTCTATCATTCTGTGAGATTCATTTCATCAACATTTCTGAGTCCACATTTCTGCCTTTCATAACATGGATAATAAAACTGAAAAGTGGATCAACAGATTGGGAACAATCAAAGAAAATCTTTTGGGTTTACACTGCTCATCAGTAATATTTTCAAGACATTTCTGCCAAATACACTTGGGACAAAGATTTATGGTTGGTGAGCATCTATAGCTGAAGATCCTGCTTTAAAGCTGAAAGAGTCTGTACTTAAAATAGCTGTTCGTAGCTTGGAAAAAAAAAAAATACCAACACTTTCCACTAACCAGGATACTGTGAAATTATTGAGATCTGCTTCACTTTTCTCTGAAGCAGACAGTACTGGAAGTTTTGAGAGGGTAAAGACTTACAGCTGTGGCATAGTAGTGGACACTGCAACACAGAAAAACTTCTACATTCTCAGGAAAGTTGTATTTCACCCAAATAATGGGTTTCTGTACATGATCATAGAATGGCAGGGAGGTGCCACCCATCTTGAAGAAAACAGTCTTTCTATGATTAGTTAGCTGTCTCCTGCCCAAGAAAAAGAAGCTCTGTCAACATCTGACAAATATTTTTCAAACTTATTTGGAAAAATCACCAATGAGATTTACTGAACTCCTAGCACAATAACTAGTGTTTCCTTATCCTCACGAGATGGTATATTTACAAAATAGAAATCAAATACAGCTTCCAGCTACTTCCTTGGTAATATTTTCATGCTTTGTTGTAACACAAAGCACAGTCAATGAAAATTAGATGGGTAATTTTTAGTCTGAACCATGCTGTTGATAAGAACAAAAAAGTATAGGTGAAGTTTTTCATGAGATTGCTTAACGTGAGGACTTCTGAACTTCTCTCTTGATTTATTAAAGCTCTGTTCCACTTGAATCTTTGATATATGGAATTTCAAGAAGAATGATGTCTCTGGGAGGATGCAAAGGCGAGGTGAATTTTTGATGGGAAGTTAATATCAGCAATGAAATAGGGCAGCTTCTGCTGTTTCATAACATAAACCTTCCTGAGAGGCTGAGTAGGCTTTGCATCTACTTAATGAAGATACATTTTTTCAATTTAAAATCTTATGCAAGTGAAATACTGCTTTCATTGATGATCACAGATGGAAATCAATTCAGTATTACATGTTCTGAAATAGATCCCATAAATTGTCTCCACTCCTTGATTGCAATAAAAGCCTGACAACCCACACAGCTGAGGCTCTGTCTCTCTACTTGGACACCAAATGGTATTCTGACTACCAGCTTATAAACAGAGTAGGTGAGCTGGAAGCAAGGAGAAGCTTGAGAGAGATCTACAGACATCTGATTAATATGACATTTCTTTCTTCATACCATCTGATTTTCAGAAGCTCTTGAGAATTTAGTGTTCAAATCTCTGAGATCCATGATATACTGTACTATACAAGGTCATTCATGTCACAGAAAACTTTATGGGCAACAGCTCTCACTGTCAGAGGGCATTCAGTATGTGCAGACACAGGGTACTTCACAGGCTGAAAACTACATTTGTTTTTGGCTGTAACGCTGCAGGCCTAGTCTCACAAACTGCTGGGAGCACAATTTATCTTACTTGCACTGAATGATTCATGGGAAAGTACAGGAAAGGTGAGTCCTCTGTCTCAGGGAGGGAAACTGATGTGGTGAAATTAAGGCATTAGCACTGGACCAGAGGCTGATTCTGCTGGAGTGATGACAGCAGCTCAGTGGCTGCTGGAAAAGCGTTCACTGCACTATACCTTGCAAGGCTCATTTCCCCTGACTTTGAACGTAGGGGCAGTGAAAACTGGTACTAGCATACATAGCTCATAAAGAAATCACTCTTAGCTGGACAGTGAACCAGCATCTTGGGTCTGCAAAGCTGGGCTATGTGCACGCAGACCGCCCTTTAACCTCTATGTCTTACTGTACCAGTGATACACCATTGCCCATTTTGTGGTTGAAGTTTATCAACTTTCAGGCCCACAGTAACATTTCTGCCCTCAAAACAGCCTCCATAGGAAAAATAAACATTTATTTGTATAGCCATGCAGACACCAGTCACTGGATACCAAGTTTCTCAGCTGGGGAGGTCTACAGCTTCAACTCTGCTGCATCCAAGCTAAAAAACCTGACAAGATTTAAACTCCTAGTACAGCTAGAATCTCCTTCAAAATTCTCTCCTCCCAGGGCAGTGATAAAAGATGCCAGAGTAGGTGATGAGGAAGCAGATGCCCTGCCAACTTATTCTCCTAGTGGGTAATAACAAACAAGAAGATTTGGGTGATGCACAACCATCCTTAGGGACCCTGACCCTCTCTTGCCCTCTCTTGCTTTACAGTCCAAGGACATATCTTGAGAAACATCAAAGTGTTCAAAGGAGGAGAAGCAACTCAGTCTCTGGTTTTCATTAAGCTTTGCAAAGGACAAACACTGAAAGCTGGCCTACTATATGCCTATGAAAACGCTTGCTGTTCTCTCCTCAAATTAAGCTAACAAAAATTACTCATATAGCAAACAGAGCCAGATCTCAGATAAGATAGATTTACATATTAAATGTATATATATATATATATATATATATACATATTTTTAGAAGATACAAGGGTTTTTTTTTTAAGACTTCAAAATAATTTTGTGGGCTTACTCCAAGCCCCCAGATCTGATTTGGTAACATCACACTCATCTTGGAAGAGAATATGGATTAGTGTTGAGGGCAGCTGGGCTCAGATAACGGGACATCTGGACAGCCAGAGCCTGCTGGAAGTGCCTATGAATCTACTAGAGCATGGGAAGCTCTAGTAGAACATGGGAAGTTCTCAGGAAGCAGAGTCAAAGAGGACAAAAGATGTGCAGTACACAAATATGCCTAACATTAATTACTGAAGGTTTTCATTCCCACACTAGTGGAAGAATAACAGCCTTAATTTTGACAGTGAGCTTTTTAGAATTAAGTGGAAGAAGCTGCACAGATATCAAAGGAAAAAAAACTCACCTATAATCATTAGACAACACTAATTGCAGGGGAAATCCTGTGTGTGTATCTGTGGATGGATGACTGTATGTCTATCTACAAACACATTGATTGAGTTGTTCATGTATTATGACTTCTCAATTAAGTAAAAATAGATGTGGCAATAAACTGTGGGGGAGCTGTATCCACACCATTCAGTGTCTGTGAAAAGATGTTTTCCATTGGCTTCAATGTACACAATCTGCAGCCATGTTTGGTACCCAGAGTAGACAGTAAATGATGTCTTTGATTTTTTTTACTTTGATATAATAATTTTGGAGTACACAACCTTTTGCTCCTCTTTCTTTTCCAGTGCAAAGATAGTCATGGGCTTATCGGTGTAGGAGAAAGTTCTCAAGTGGCTCAGGCAGGTGCAGCTTATGGATCGCATATAGGCACGATCGACCCAGATGCTTTCTGATACACAATCGGCACAGCTGGGCAAGGCTGGCAGGGCCTGGAAGACAAGAAAAAAAACAAAAGAGCAAGCACCCTCATCCCCAGTATAAGTCAGAAGGTAACAAACAGCAGCAAGGTATGAAAATCAAATTGAGAACTGCACAACAACTTTCTGAAAGTTAAGGAGAGCAACATACACTGCTGACCTATTTTGCCAAAACTGATTCAACAGCTCGAAACCTTTGAACACTAAAAGCATTTTTATGCATGCACAGCTAGGCTTTTCTGAATCTTCTCTTGAGCAAATACTAAAAGTTCCATATAGAAGTTTGCACTAGAGACAGTGCCAGGACGTATAGCTCTTGTGCAGGGTTTGGCACTTCCTGAGCCATGAGGGAAATGTTGCACTCTGTGACAATATCTTATTATAAACTGGAGAGCCCACTGACAGCAAAGTTGTCCACAGACTCATTTTGTGGGTGTTTGCATGTCACCACAGACCATGGTGCTGTCCCCAGTGGGGTGAACAGGATAGAGCTCCCAGCCCCAGAGGAGATTCACCAAAGTCTGCTTTTACTACAGGAAAATGGAGGCACATAAGCTGGTTGCTAATTCCCCTCAGAGAGTAAATTTATAGAAATTTGTAGGATTTGTAGAAAAGAGTACTTGAGCTACCATCACTGAAGGGAGAAAAGAAGCTATCACCTCCCACGACAATTAAGAAAATGGAAACATTTTATATTTCACATCAAATAATAGGTAGGAAGATGAACATTTAAAAGAAGACATGTAAATAATAAGCACGGAAGAAAAGTCAGGAGGAATGAAGAAAACTCTTGAAGGGAATTCCCTAGGGTCCTTCTTTCAAACAGAAGGACGTCGGAAAACACAGATGAGGTGAGGGAGTTGTAGATGTTGGATACAGAAAAGTGTCTGCAAGTAAGACTGAAGGAGTCTATATAAGGTACAGAGAAATCTTCACTTCTGAGAAGGGAAGAGCCAGCAGTAACTGACAGACCCTATGGCCCACCTGATTGTGAGGGAGGATGGGGGTACAACTTCAGAGTAAAAATCAAGCAGAGGTTCAGGAAGGGAGGAGATTTTTAATACTGGCATAGTTATTCATCTACAGAAGCTCTTAATTACACCAGGCAACTGAAGTGAGACACTTGCTTTTGCCCAGGCCTGAACACCTCAGACACAGGGACGGAAGTCACAAGAAGTGAGAAGCATTGAAGCAAATGTCCTCCAGAAGTCTTTGAACATGACAGTGATAGAACCTGAGGGAATGTCATGGAGCTGTGTCAGGGGACGGGCTGCTGGGGGTTAGGGAAAGGTTCTTCACCCAAGGGAGGTGGGCATGGCTCCAATTGTCAGAGGTCAAGGAATGTTTGGACAAAGCTCTCACACACAAGGTTTGAATTTGGGGTGGTCCTGTGTGGAGCTGGGAGTTGGAATAGATGATCCTTTGGGGTCTTGTCCAACTCATGTAATTCTACAACCTTTCTATGACATTCTGTGACAAATTAAATCACCATGTGAAATGTGGTGAAAGAGAGAGGGACAGAAGAATCTTGGACCAATGTTTCACTTCCTCCATAAAACTCACCTGCATGCAGCGGCCAACACAAAGCTTATACACCCCACTGACATTAATTACCATTCAAGAGCTCTTAGGCTTTCTATGCACATTGTATTGCTCACCACTGACAGGGAGTGAGCTGTGACCAGGAAGGCAAAAGCCTGGGGCACAGACCAGCTAGCAGGAGACAAGTGAGCTAGGAAACATGGAGATTAGAGGACAGGGGGAATTAACAAAGCATGTCTCTTCTCCAGGGATGGAGATGCACAAAGTTTTGGTTATATGGGGCAGAAGTAAAAATGGCACAAGAAGTGTTAGATTTATTTCTGCTTAGAAGTTTATTCAATTAGACTGGGAAGGTAACTAGAAATATTGGAGAGCCTGCATGTAAGCTGCAAAGGGTATTACTGGTTTCTGCTTGGATCGCAGTCCCATAAACATACATTCGTTGGCATTTTTTTGGTTTTTGTTTTGTTTTGTTTTGTTTTGTTTTTTTTCCAGGAAGAAGGTCATCGAGCCACAGTACTTATCTGAACATAAGATACTAAAATAGCTGTGATAATATCTGTGAGTAAACTCTCATGGCAGTTTTCAATCCTCAGTCCTTAGAGTCTTGGCTCTTAAATAATTTACCTTCAATAAATGGAAAACAAAGGCACAGAATAACTAGCCAATTTGCTCACTAAAACTCTAATTTGGCAGCAGATCTGGCAAGAAAACAGAGATTGCTTGCTCATTTCTGTGTAGCGTGATACAGGCTTGAAATCAAAAGAGAACTTACAGACAAGATTAAGTTCATTAAGAAAACGGCTTTAGGTAAAAAATTAATACTGTTCTAGTTTGAAACGACAAAGGGGAAAAGGCAAAGAGGAAAAGGCAAAAGAAACCTTTACCTTCACAAAGTAGAAGTGCCTGCTCCACTTTGCTGTTGGGTATGGCAAGGTCCAGGGCACATTTGAGTTCAGCATTTCTGCATTTCAGGTTAGCACCATAGTCTGCCAGCAAGACAACTATCTCTGCACTGGATTTCCTTGCTGCTGCATGGAGAGGAGTGTCTAGTAGCTTCCCTGCATTGACATTGGCTCCTTGGGAGAAGAAGAATGCAGGGTTGGTGCAAGGAAAAAGCAAGAAATATCTGACCTTGCACTACACAGATTGGATATCCACTGGTAGCCTCAATAAATGAAGGGGATGAGTGGCACCCAGGCCTCTGTGACAACTCTGTGACATCAGTGCAAAACTCAGATCAAATATTCTCTGTATAAGTGTCTACTGGTCCACTGAGTCCTCTCTACAACAGGCGAAGCTGGTCAACCATTGAAGTTCTTAGACTGTCAACCCAATAGATGATCGTAGAATCATAGAATCATAGAACCATAGAATCATAGAATCATAGAATGGCCTGGGTTGAAAAGGACCACAACAATCATTTAGTCTCAACACACCTGCTATGTGCATGGTTGCAAACCACTGGACCAGGATGCCCAGAGCCACATCCAGCCTGGCCTTGAATGATCACTGATCAAAACCTATGACAAATTTATTAGTATTAAACAATCTATCTTAGATTATGTTATTTTAGTTAGAGGGAGGAAAACACCCTTTAGGTGCCTGTAATAACTTTGAGAGCACAGCTAGCAACATGCTTGCCCTGAGCTAGCCACGTGCAGCAGAGCCGTTCTTCCAGCAAGCGTCAACAGTAGAAATTTACACTATCTTATATATTGTGTCTGGGCCTACAGAGATTATTTTTTCAAGCATCTTTACTGCTGTTTTCATCATTAGCTGAAAAGAAAATGAGGTTAATGCTTAGCATGGCAGTTTAATTTTTCATAATCAAAAGACTTGATTTTGGTCATCAATAATAGCTGATATTTTCTGTTTCCTGCCATTGTTTTAGAAAACTCTGGTTTACTTTCACATACAAATGGTCTCAGGTAGATCTCTGTAATTAGAATTTTCCAGTAGGGAGATTCTAATTTCATAGAATCATAAAGATTGGAGAACCCCACTAAAATAATTAAGTCCAACTGTCAGCCCATCCTCACCATGCCCACTAACCATATCCCTCAGCACCACATCTATACAGTTCTTCAACATCTCCCAGGATGGTAATTCCACCACCTCCCTGGACATGTATTCTTCATGAATACAAGTGAAATTTTAATTATCTCACAGATTCAAGCTGTCCAAAAATCTCTTGCAGAAATCCTTCAAAATGTTTATGACATAGGGGTAACTTGGATGGAATTGGGATGGCTTATACTACCCTAGCTCTCCCCCAGCTCCTTCTCTGGACGTACCAAGTTCCAACAGCTTCTTGACACAGTCTGTCCTCTGGTACATGCAAGCAACATACAGCAGGGTCCCACAGTGCACGTCTTCTTCGTCAATGTCAACTCCATGAGCCAGAAGAACTTCCATGCACTCTCGGTGTCCTGTGCAGCAAAAGAGAACTATCACTTAATTGCAGTGACACAGTGCAGAATACACCCAAGTACAATCAATGAGGCATAAGAGGTGGGAGTAAGCCAAGCACATTTATATGTGTTGTATAAGTTTTTTTGGGGGGAAGTAAATGTTTTGAAGCCAATAAGAGATGCATTGCACACTTAGTTGCTGTTAGCTTCACTCACAGACTGTTACCTCTCTTGACTGCCTCATGAATGGGTGAAGCAAGGTGGTTCCCGACCTGTGGCTTGGCTCCAAATTCAAGCAGCATGTTTACACAAGCCACAGAGCCACTGCAGCAGGCATTAAAGAGAGGAGTGATCCCATCAATGGTGACTGCGTTGACCTGAAACAGCAGGACATGCTCAGAACAATCCAGTATAAGAGCAACGCCCTTACAGCATGCGTCATGTGCTCAACTAGAATGCTTGTCGTTTAATGTCAGAGTTGATTTGGTTTGCAACTTTCAAAGTGTGAGACAACACATATAACATTCTCCTTTGAGCTCTGCTCTCTTTCCCAGGCACTTAGTGCCATAAGGCCACATCATTGTTTGTTATGAGTGACCCTCACTGGAGTTGCTCAGAAAATGCAGATTATTTCTTTTTAATGCAGAAAACCTGAGTATTGCCTATTTTGTACCAGCCCAAGTCCATTACATGCTCAGACAACTCTGATATTTAAATGAAAATGTAGTTCACATTTAACACATTCATCTGAAAACACATTTCCAGCAAAGGACATATTCACAGAAACACTGTCATAATCCCAAACAGAAAAAGAGGTCAAAATGGTTTGTGTTTATGCACATATGTGTGTGTAAGACAGAAAGCATTTCCTTCCTTGACATCCAACATAGATACCTGGCAAGAGCCATCATCTGTGGTTCTCCACTGGGAGAGCATAGTCCTGTGTTGTGCTGTGCTGCAGCAGCTGTAAGGTCTGACTGCCTAGCAAACACTGAGAGACAATTTATGCAGCAAATCTGCATTCCTTTATTTTTTATTATTATTATTATTATTATTATTATTATTCTGCAAGATGAACAAAGAACAATGGGTTCTGCAAGCATACAGCACAACATACAGAGATGGAAGATAAAGGGCTAGAGTTAGGCTCTGCCCATAGCCTGTAGTGTCGCCTGGGGTTGTTGTGGCCAAAGTGCACTAGGTCTTGTTGAACTTAAAGGCAAGCATCAAATTGGAACATGAAAACCAAAAGACTTTATGTACTACGAACAGGTTGTTTTTTAGAGGTCAGCAACAGACAGTTCAGAGATGATTCTTCTAATTAAGAAAAGGTAGTGCCACCTTCTAATTAAGAAAAGGTAATGCTACTTGTATAACAAAATCAAGTAAAATTGAGCAGAAAGTTTCTTCTTCATCTTTCAATGAGACTGAAATTGGTTGTACAGTATAGGAAGTTAATTCATGTATTTTCTTCTGCAAGATAGCCTGATTTCCTGTTTTAGTGTTGCTCAGTTTCTTGCCGTGTAAACAGTGCTTGAAAAGTGTGTGACCCAGCTGAATGAAACATGCTCTCATATATATCATCCTATTTGGGTATCTCAGTTTTTAATGTGTATCCTACCTGAGATCCAGCTGGGAAAGTTATTTCAATAATGGATAAGCTGTCTCATTTATTTAAGCACGTCTATTTTTACTTACATGACATTCCCAAAATATTCCTCAGAAAACCAGAGGCAATTTTAATGATGACTATGGGGGAAAACAAAACAAAACAAAACAAAAACCCATATATAATTTTCCCTGGGGTGATTGCCACCAGCCCAGGACTCACGTGTGCGCCATTCTCCAGCAGCAGCTTTGCACAGGCCACATGGCCACCCAGACAGGCTTCATGAAGAGCTGAGACTCGATCTGTTGTTACCAGGTTCACATTGAAACCCTGCAAGGTAGAGTATGGGGCATGAGGAGAGAGCCTGGCCAAACTCTGTGGCAATCCTGGGGCACCAGCAGTGATTGGGCCCAGGACAGAGAGCTAGGTAGTGGCTAGGGATGCATGTGGGTCCTGTTACTGCTGTCTGCTGCTTGTCCAGGCGTTGTAGCTGGTAATGGTTATAGTTCAGAATTCGGTTGGACCCTTGGGCTCCATCATTTTGGGGAAACAGGCACCCTTAGGATCTGATTTCGCTTATCTCAAAGTAGTTTTCGGTTGGGTGGGTTCCATGCTAAAAATACATACACTGACTATATTGAGTTCCCAGTGTAGTTCACAGAATCATACAATTGTAGAATGGTAAAATCATAGATTGGTTGGGTTGGAAGGGGTTTTGCACTGGAAGAAAAGAATTGGAGTCACAATACTTCATTATCAGCATTTCCCACAAATGACGGTTCTTGTATGTCTTCCCACAGAAACAGACACCAGGTTTATTCGCAAGAAACCAAGAAGCTGCCATGTGTGCTGTCCCCAAAATGCAGCTGAATCTCCTCGTGATATTTCACAGCTGCATGTGAGAACAGGCCTTGAAGTAGGACTGAGTGTCTTCCGTAAGACCATTTCCCCTCTGTTCACTGTGCTATAGAGCTGGCAGCTCACGAGATGGCAGCAGTGCACTGTTTAGTACGCAGCTACAAAGGCTTTCAGTAGACGTTAATATCAGTGAGCAACATAGCACTGTAACAAAATCACCAATCCTGCTGCAATAAGCATTAAAAACAGCCACTGTAATCACTTCAAGATAGAAATTTAGTGATAGGAAAACAATCATTTTTTCAGCAATGTGAAAGCACTGTTCATGCGAAGGCTGTAGATAAATTTTTCCTGCACATTACATCAATGCACAAGAGCAGATAAAATCTTTTTTAAAATGTTGAGACTATTCCATTTTATAATTATATAGGTATTTTATGCTTACTGATGAGTACACTCCTTCAAGAGAGATTTTTTCTAGAGGCTCCTGATAAGAAGAGAGCTATTCTTATTAATTATTCAGATATAAATTTAACAAATTAAAATAATTCCTTGCAAATGAATGAATAAGTACTGATATCTTGGATAAAACAGCAATCCCCTCCATTACTAAATGGAGACCAAGTTATAGATCTTTCTATAGCTGTCTGCAAAATAATGTTGGCATTAAGCTTGTTCTCATGTGAGTATACATTCTTACTAGTATATCTCAAAAACAAGATGCTACTTTCAGTGCTGGATCAAGCATTGCTGAGTCCTTGAGCTTTCCTAAAACTTCAGAGCTCCATCTCCTCAAAGGCACAAACAGCTCCTAATATTAATCCCTTGGAGAGCAGAAGCCTTTCTGACTATCTAAAGAACTGTAATCCAAAGGTAGAGACTTTTGAGTGTCCCATACATACCCTAAATTATAGCTCTCCATTTCATTTTAGGCTAATAGCATAGCTATTGAGCAATATCTATGGTACTCCGTGAAGAACTTTACCCTACTAGTGACTCATCTCCATTTCAGACTCCATAGACATTACTGCATCTATCTCATTCCATCAGCAAGGACCCTCATTCTTCGCTCCTCAAATTAATGTCTTTGGGAGCAGGACAAAGGGTAGATTAAATAAAAAATGTATAGCCGTAACATCTGGCAGTCCTTCTATGTATAACCATAACCAGTGAAGAACAGAGGCCTCCACTGTTAAACCACTACACCAGGTGCCTGCCATGACCAGCATGGTGTAAAGACAGAACAGATGAAGATAGAAGGGATCTACCACTTCTTATTGTATAAAATGGCTTTACAGAGGGAACTAGATGAGTGAGAGCATTGGGAAATCAGCAACAGCTGGGGGAAATTACTCACTTTTGCCAGACTAGGGACCTGGGTTTGAATAAGGGTGATAAGGAGAAAAAATGGCAAAGCACAACTGTGACCTCCTTACAGCTGTTTATATTCTTACCATACTTCTTATCCTTTCTCGTAAGTTCTTTCCTCCTCTCTTTGTTTTGTCTGAACTTGTGGTTGCTGTTGGAACAGAGTTTGAGGCCGACAGATCTCCTTTTAGATATGTTATGATTATGATAGTTGTTTTATAAAGCAATGCATATTTTTACAGATTTCTATTGTTGGTTTGTTGGTGTTGTTTTTTGTTGTGTTTTTTTTTTTTTTTTCTCCTTCAAATAGATGATGTATACATTGTTCTTGTTCTCCCCAAGCCCAGTTTGCACAATTTATCACTGAAAAAAGAGCACAAGCATCATTGTTTATCATACAGCTACAAGCAATAGCAGTCTTTGTCCTGGGCTTGTCCTCAGCATCTTAACTAAGTAGCCAATCCATGTCCAAGGGCGTGCATGGGGGTATATTATTTATATGACTGTATTTCTTATGCCTGCTGCAGACTGTTACCAGCTCACTGACTCAGATACAATTCAATAGAAACCATGCTGCTTCCCAACCCTGCAGGCTTTTACCTGTGCAATCAAGGTTTTCAAAGACAGGAGGCGTCCTTGGAAGGCAGCATCATGCAGAGGGGATCTGTCCGCCCAGCTGCCTAAAACAGCAAATTCATAAAAGTTAATTCAGCTATGCAACAGGTATTTCCCCTGGGAGGATGGGGGAAGTGCAGTGACATGGAAATGCAAAATAGGTTTCAAATCAATGTAGTGTCAGCAGCGAAACTGTAGATAAATTGATTTCAGCAGAGCAGCTGAAGGCTCAGCACTCCAGAGGTTGGCCACTCGGTAAGGCGCCTCAACACCAGCTTTGAAAAATAGCTAAGAACACACTTCAGCAAAGATCACAGTTTTAATGCTGCTGGAGACTCAACCAAAGACTTCAGAGCCCTGCAGCACTCACGTTGTAAAAGATATAGCTTCTGTCTGTTCTAGAGAGCTTTTGTCACAAGTCATATTCCAGTGCCCTTCACTTTATTAAGGGTTTCATAGCAGAGGGACACTGGGACGCTCTGTCCATCAAATGAATTCTAGCATGACTCTGTCTGCTTTATTTCCCAAATTGACAATTTCACAAATGACTTCTCTAGCTCAGACAGGTAGGTAACAAGTTTCATCCTCCTCCTCACTGAAAGTTTTCAGAACAGACATGAAAAAAACAGATCCTGCCCAAGCTTTCATTTTCTTTCCTTAATCATTTTAAGCTGTTGAATTGTGCAGAATTCTTCTTGCAGGTTTCTTCTTTTCCTTACTCTAATCTATTTATGTGCCACAAAATAAGTCTGTCTAGCTGCTACCTATACTTATAGCCAGCTCAGATGGAGTGCATTTAACCTGCCAGATAACAGAAACAATACCACTGTTTGCATTTGTGCTCTATTGTACAATAGCCCCACAAGCATAGTGCTTGAAATCCACATCCCATTAATTATTTTCACTACACAGCACAACAGGGAGAAAGGAAAAGGTGATTTATCTCCATTCCGGATGTTACTTGAGGCAAAGAAATCTCAATGAGAGGCATGTGAACGTCCCTAGGGATTTCAGACCAAGGACAGATAGTACACCAGAGACTGCCAAAGAGTTGCAGGAGGAGGAGAGGAGGTTGACCTAAAAGGCCTATATCACCCTCTGGTTTAAAGCCAGCATTGCTTTAAGGAGTTTCCAGCAGCCCTTAGCATTCTTGTAGTGTGTTTTCATTACCTTAGTACTTCACCTTGTGGTGGCGTTACAGTTTTAAATAGTGTTTTCACTTTTCTCTCCATTTACTTAAGGAGCTGTCCCTGGGCTCCAACAGCAGGAGGATGGTGTAGAAGGACAGCCAGCACAGTGTGCAGCCAGGCTCCTGAGGGCCAAGTAGGACTCACTAAGCAAAATGATGGAAACAGGTAGAGATGGAGAAAGATTTGAATGAAAACATCCAAAAAATCCCAGCTCCCTCCTCATGCTGGTGTCTGAAATAGGCAAGTTCAGTTCAGAAAGTTAGAAGGCTAATGACAAAAAGTAGGGGCCTCGTCCACCGGGAGAGTTCAGAGGTAACAGCTTCATTGCCTTATTAAAACTCCTATGCATATTGTAGAGCATGTGTAAGCGCTTTTCACATGCATTGTGAAGGCATGTGTATGCACACACATGCTTCATGAGAACACATGCTGTTGCATACTTCCATGCTAGCCACAGCAACCTACCTCCCTGAAATGTGTGGCAAATATAGTTCCCATACAGAGCACTTCTTCCCTCCAGGGCTGTAAGTGACATGTTGGAAAGCACTGTCTTTTCTAAATCAAGGATAACTTATCTTTAAGTTTGGGAGCACTTCTGTTGCACCACACTGCAAAGAGAAGTCGCTGTGAAACTCTGCCTGTAACCCAATCCAGTGCCCCAGCAACAGTGTCACGTGGTCCTATATTTTGAAAGATTATCCTTAATGGCTTTTGCAAATGGTAACTTGCAGATAAAAATATGTTGTAGTCTGCTCAATTTCAAGACACTTTGCTAAGAACCTGTACAAAGGGAAAGCTGGTGTTTGTCAACATCTGACTGCAATTGTATGAATGCACCAGGAAAAAAAAGTGGCAGCAATAAATAATTGGACTTATACTCTAGAGAACAACACACAAGTTAATAACCCAGAGACAGACATTCCTGAGTATAAATGGTCTGTAAGAAATGTTTTGCTGCCATATTTCTCTTGGACAGTGGTGCTTTGGGTGACCATCTTGCACCATAGACAGTTCCACTCACTTTCCTGTACCTGTTCGTGGCAGCTCAGTTCATCAGGAAGCAAGTGTCCAAAACTGAGTCACATAAAGGCCTGAAATGTCACAATGCTGAAAGAAATCTTCAGGCTGGAAAACATGCTTTCATTAGTAGTAAATTTAAAATACTGTGTCATTTTAATTGGGTATTTGCATTTCCAGTACTTCTAATATCTATATGTTATTTTATATAGACACATGCACAAGAGTGATGCAATGGAGGTAAAACCACTTGGGGAAAAAAAGAAACCCAAAAATATGAAATGACCAGCTCAGTGGCGTAGCAAGTACAACATATTCCTGCAACATATAGTTTTCAAAACCATTTCAGATTTATTCATTTTTATGGCCTGACTTGTTGACATAAATTCACAAAATAATTAGTTATAACTTCCTGGAGCTTTCTTTCAGGAAATCAACACAACAAAAGTTTTCCCTAAATATTCTGTCGGTAAACATAACAAAGCCATCCGTAACCCCAAACCAAAGAATGCCATGCCTCCTAGAACAATCTTTTCATCTACTGTAGTGCCTTGAGCAAATGTCGTCCTCATTCGAGCTGGGTAGCTGTTGCAGTCTCAAATTTTGCACACCTATCACATGCCAACACATACCAACACTGCAAAGACCTCAGAAGTGAAAGGCATGTCAGGTTAAAACATTCACCCTACGCACTTAGCAACAAACTCTTTGTTTTATGGAATCTCAATGACTTAAATCCCAAAGTTATAAATATGTAGCTAATAGACGTCTGTCTGTTAAGAATGTCTATATTTTTACTTTACCTGGGACTATTCCATAGATCTCTTCTGCTATCCTGGCAGCCTCTTTTCTGTTGCCTTTAACAATATAGAAATGAGTCAGCAGAGCCAAGGAAATCTTAATTAAAAGTTTGAAGCAAAACAAAGCAAAAATGGCAAAATAAATGTTAGTGAAAGCCTGGAGTATAGAACTGCCCTCCATTTTGCTTTGAATAGTTTCTCAGCTCTGCTAAGTTGCACCAGGCTATTATTGGTATCAAATGTCATCTATTTTAAACCCTCCAGAACTTGCTGTTCCTCCATTACCAAAAATACATTGGTTTTCATTTGGTGCAGCTATTTGATACTAAGTAACAATACCAAGTATAAAATAGTCTGAAAATCCCACAACATGCAGGAAACAAATGGAATATTTGAATACTTTTCAGATAGAAATTCTCCATACCACTGAAAGCCTACAAATCCACAGTATATTTATCCTCTGACTCAAGAGTTGGATTAACAAAGGCTGCATAGGTAAAGTTGCAGAAGTAGTACAGAGATACTGCAAGAAGATTACTCTTCTGTCTTTCTCATCTTGGTAATAGGCCTTGCTGGTACCCACATACAGAACAAGGCAAGCGTATTAAAGAAAAGCATTACCATGAAAGAAAGAAATAAAACCATGTATTTTTCAAAGCCAGGACTGAGAAATCAAAGTTATTCTATGAGTGAAAAAATACATTAAGTGTGAAATCAAAAACACACAATAACAGACTGGTATTTTCCGTCATTTGGATAAAGAATGGTGTTCATTATTATCCCTTGCAACCAGCATTTTGGTCTTTCAAAAGAATAGGAACATTTTTACATTATCTGTCATTGATTCCAAGGTATATTATTTAAAACTTAAGATGCGCCCTTTAATTTCCTTTTTGTATTTCTGAAAACAAATGGCTTCTACAGACAACAGACAAAGTATCTTTCTCTGTGTGTAATTAACTGAATTTCTGTGGGATAGCCCATTTCCTTTTCATTTAAATATTTATTTATCACTATTTCCCTATAGGTACAGTTAGAGGGAGATTTTTTAATTTTTTTTTTCTTTTGTATCCTCTCTTTTCTCAGGTTCTTGCACCCTTAAACTCAAACACCTGTGAAGGGAAAGAGTGAGACATCCCAAAGAGTTAGTGGATATGCAGAATGAAATCTTAAAGCAAATTATTTCCCTGGACACTTAAGATTCAATTTGTTTTATAGCAAAATTGCTTAGTTAGTACTACAGCACTCTGCCCTTCCAGTGCACCAGAACTTAGCGTATGCATGGGATTGTTGGAAAAAACACAGCAAAGTGTTGATTTTTTATTTGTTTTTCATTTTTTCCAAGTGAAACTATTTTTCGAAGATGCCATGCTGAACTAAGATATTACATTTTTACCTGCGTCTTAACACTTCACATAAATATTAAGCAAAACTTTCCTTTCACAGTAACATAAGGTGCTGGTAGAAACAACAACATGTATGAATCCAAGCAAGAAAAAATCACCAATTTTTTAAATCCTCTTTGCCACATGACAAGAAGCGGAATATAATGATTACATGGGACAAGTTCAGCTGGGTAACCAAAGAGAAACATAGTTAAGTTTACTCAGAAGCAAATAAATGCATTAATTAATTAATTTTAAAAAAGGAAATTTAAAAAAAGAAAAAAAAAGTAGAGAGATCCACAAAACTGCCTTTTAATATGATGCAAGCAAGAAGGAATAGTATTTTTTAAAAGGGTGACCACAAAAATGACATTTGGTTGCAAAGATGCGTTATCTGCCTTCACGGTCAACTGGGTAGATAAGAGGTAAACTTGTACGAGTCTGCAACCTGCAGAAAAATACAAGAAACTGGAGATCAGATAATTTCTGCTGAAATTCTCCTAACCCTGAAGGAGTATGAAATCCTAGTAACAATGAAGAGCTCTCCAGGAGGTCTAAAACAACATGAACACAATAAAAATGACTATCCCAGAAAGACAAGCTTCATTTGTATAGCAGCAAATTCACCTTCCTGGCTTCAGAACAGCACAACTTAAAGAGCTGAGTTAAATGGTGGAGTCATTTGAGAAAAACTCATGAGTTTTTATGCATAATCACTTGCATATAAGAACAGTATTGGATTGAACTCAAAAAGTCATCAGTAAGAAGGCAGCTGAACAGTGCAGTGGGAAGGACTGATACAGATGAAGAAATAGCAAGATCTGGCATGATCACTCAGAAACATTTGGCATTTCTAAAACTAGAGGAAGGTGAGCAACAAAAGATAGGAATTGCAGCACATGTTACACAAAGGAAGAGCAACCACAGTACAGAAACAGGAAATGTACCTCCCTTGCTGCTTTGTGTCACTGTGTTGTGTTTTGAATGGGATGGATTGTGCAACTTACTGATAGCTTGCCGGACTGAACTGAACACCTCAACACTTGGTAGAAAAAACACGCCTCATTGAGAACTTCAGCACAATGCCTAACCCACAACAGTCTTCTGTTAGAGTGATTACCAAACTGACAAATCAAAATATCCAGAAGATATGTTAGTCCTTCAGTATAAATGTCATGATGTGGTGAGTGAATAGTTTAACTGGATCCCTTGAAGAACTGGAAATTAATTTTTATATATCTTTAATGTAAAAGCCTGCAAGGAAAGAGCACAAAAGAAAAAACAGACTGACTTAGAGAAAAAAAAAGAAAAATTAATTATGGGTCACCTTAACTTCAGTTGTAAGAAAAATGTCAGATATGGCCTGAAGAATTTGGCCACGAAATAAAAATCAGAGAGGAACTTCCTCTCAAAAAAATTTAAAGAGGAATTAAGTCTATTTTTATGCTTGGCAGTCTTTGAATTACAGCAGTGTATTTCTAAAGTATTTAATTGAGAGTTTGAGTAACATTTTCAATTAAATAAGATAATTGGAAAAAAAGACACAAATACATTATCTCTAAGGGAACCAGAACAAGAATACATGGTAGAGAACCTAGCTATTTTTCTATCGGTTTGATCTAATAAATGATATTACTTTCCATGCAACCATTGCCTCATTTGCATCCTTAGATAGCACAGTAATAACACTCCAGCTTTTAGAAAGGGTTGTATGTAGTGACTCACTGTTTGCTCTCATCAAGCAGATGAAGGATTCATCTCACCTACCCATAGCCCGTTGCACCACATATATTCTGGTTATCTAAACCTCTACTGTCTGGGCAGGATGACAAGGAATTCCAGCTGGTAATTAATATCTTATCTGCCTCCAACACCTATGATAGCACAGGATGACTCACCTTCTAGATGCATTCTACCAGTCCCTCCTGATTAAACAAGCTTAAAAAAACAATGTGTACTAGACAATCAGTTTATACATGGTACTGTTCAATAAATCCCACACAAACATCACCACCAGACTTAAGCTGGTGCTGAAACAAGTCAGAGCGTGAAAATAATCCTGTTAGGTTCACAAGAAAAATGTGTAATTTCAGTACAAAGACAGATTCAGGTGTAAAACAGCATCTTGCTCTCAGCTTTATTCTTCAACGAAAAGTATATCCCTTTCATCCAAGTGACTGCATCAGTGTGAGAATAATTAGAAAAACTATAGAAGTCAATGTACTTCTGGGTGTCATGAAAAATACAGAGCAAATATGACAAGAGTAGTTTAATGATAGCAAGTCAAGCAATATATTAAAAATATGTAAAATTGATCTTTAAAAAAACATTTGTGAAATACTTTCAGGATGGGTTGTTCTTATGTTTGTTTACAGTGAGTTTTTATGTAACTGAAATTTTACAATAAATGAGGCTAAGTACATATGAATAAAAGGACTAGCAAAACAACATAAATATCAAAAGGAGAAAAAATAAGTTTATTTGTTAAAGATGAAGAAAAGCTAGATCACAAAAAGGTAAGTTCATTACAGTGCAGCCAGCTTCTTACAGATCTATCCATATCCTCTAAAACACAGTCTAAAAGGCAAATCTTACATTCACACTTCACTTTATACTTGCTCTGGTTTAACACAATTTTCAACTACCAGCATGCAGTCTATACTTCACAGTGTCTGCAAATAGTGTACTGGAAACACAACTTCTCCTTGTATCTGTGTGATAGAATTTTAATATGGATCAATGCAAAATTTTCACCGCTAAAATAAAGTAGTTCAAAACACTTCTGGGTGCACTTGGGTAGTCCCTTCTATGAAGGGGGGCAATTAAGCTTCTATACAGAAGGGTTTGGTGCATTCCCTCCTCCTCCACACAGGAGGCTTTGCTTGATGCAAGATGTTACTCAGTATCACTCCCTGGTTGGTAACATTTTCTTAGTATTTCACAATACTCAAATGTCACCCACAACCATAACCGAAACATTTCAGTTTTATTAAATTGTATTTTAGGAATATGTGTTTGGAAATGAATAAAATAACACCTCTGCTCAACTTCTCATTATTGTGCTCCCTTCAAACAAAGTCTTCCATTTCACTCACTGCTGCTTTACAAAACTGTAAATGGTTGAGTGATGGTGACATCACCCCTTGCTCTGTTGCACAAGATAGGTAAGTGAATCAATGAGTTACACTGGGAAACAGTATATGTGTAGTAAAACCAGTTATGGCTTAAATATTTTTGCTTATGCAAAGTGTTTTTAGTCATCACTAAGTCATCACTGTAAGCCCAAGCACAAATGATGACAAGCAGCAGTATGCAGTATATTCCTATACTTTCTAATTGTATGTTTCCACATACTAATGAAAAATACCCATTCGTTATTGAAAATGAAATAAACATTTAGATGAACTGTTTTATTATAAGTACACAATGTTCCACAAAAGAAAAAATAGATTTTTTTTTTAATAGATTATCATAATCCTACTGAAAATTACGTCTGTTTTTGTAGCTGTTGTGGGAAACCAAAAGAAATAAACCGGAATCAATAAATTATTTAAAAAATTGCATAACATTTTCCTGGAATGATAATCAGTATTTTTTTTTTA